TTCACTTTTTATTTTATTTTTATTATTTATATTTTTATTTATATTTATTTCTATTTTTCATTACTTTAATTATTTAATATTCGATCTCATTTCGATATATTTTCATAAAATTTTATTATTTAATTTATTGTTTGATGCATTGACAGAAAAAAATATTTAAAAAATAAAAATTATTCGGTGGATTACTAATAATTTATTTATTTTTATACTAATATAGAATATATCTCTTAAATAAGGAAATATCTTCTTAAAATCTTAGCTTTTCATAAATAAGGAAATATCTTCTTAAAATCTTAGTTTTTCATAAATTCATTCACCAATTGTTGATTCTGTTTGAATAAAAAAAACTAAATTTAAATAAATTATCTACCGAATAAATATTTTTTCTCTCAGTGTATGGATCAGTCGGAATAGCCAGAACTCGATTAAAAAAAAATCCAAGATCCAATATTTATCTTTACACTGAGAAAAAAAATAACTTATCTATCTAAAATTATTATTGTTTACTCTGACGGCAGTTTTTAATTGTTTTTAATAACACGGAAATAAAAATAGTAACATGTATATAAAGTATTATCACTAACATTATAATAAAACTTAATTAAAAAATGCTTTGCTTGACCATTTCTTAAAACTTAATAAAAAATGCTTTTCTTGAACATTTATAGCTCAGTCGGGAAATTGTTGGAAACACGCACACACATACACAGAATTATATGAAATCCGGAAGAGACGAGAATCCTCGGCTGTCGAACGGTTCAGATCAATTAATTATTTAACAAAACCCTTCCCGCTAACCCTCTTCAAACTCTCCTCCGTTACCTTCCCTTATAGTTTAAACTGCTCGCCAGCAGAGCAACCTGTGCTCTACCGTATAGTTTAGTTCGCTTTTGCCGCCTATGTTTCTACCCTTCCTCGCGCCGTCTACCTAACCTCTGTTAGAAGATCCTATCCTATGTACAATATGTACATAGCTAAGCACGCATCAAGTGTCTTGACTTCATGTCAAGTGCCCAGGCAAAAGATTCCCCAGTAAAAGAGTCAGCGAAGTGTAGAAGTTAGAGAAACTATGACAGCATACGCGTGTCCCACACGCAAAAAAAGAACTAGTTTCCAGAGCTAAAAAATAGCTGTGGCAGATAAGATGTGTCACTGAAATAGGAACAGCTAATGTCAATACTACCGAAGCTAAATTTATTCGTTGTTAAACTTAGGCGCTACAGCGAGAAATATTAGCTGCTAGAAATAAATGACTATAACAAATGATTGTAGCTGTACGACAAACTTCTTTAATATATGCATACGATAAAAAAAGTTAGAAATAACTGCCATTTTCTTAGCTACTTGAAATAATGTGCATTTTTAATGTCACCTAATATATTTGTATTTCATAGCGAATGTATCTTAACTGTCATAACCAATTCTTAACAGTGACAGCTAAACGATTAGCCTTTTGTTAAGTTTGAATCAGCTATCTTTAGCTGATATTACTAAATCATTTTTTTGCATCCACATGTGAGACTTTCGGAGTCTTTAGATAAACTTCCCACGGGTTAAAAACAAACTGCCGTAATTAATCGATATCTTATTAAAGTTATATGATAATTGACAATGAGCGAAGCATGGCATATCATATATTAATATATTAATTGACAAATATGTACTCGCGATTGGCGAAATGTAGCTATATTCAAAGGAAATTTATTTAATAAAAATTTAAGAAATTTATTTAGATAAATTACTATTTAGATGAATAACTAAAGAAATTTATTTAGATAAGTAGATTTTAAGTTATTTAATAAGAAATAATGTGTGGATAAAAGTGGAAATAACAAAGAAAGACTTAATCTCATCTCTTCCTATCTTATTTTTTATTTTTTTTTTATGGAAACTTCGATGAGATTTATAGCTCTTAAAAGTACTGATATGAAGCTGTAAACGTAAGAATAACAGTTATGTGTCCAATAATGCTGTGTTTTTGCCGATGGAGATTTAAGTTTTGATTCCGTACAAGGCTAAATAGAAACGAAATGAATGAGTTGGTATATGTAAACAAGATTGCGCGCGCTTACGGACAAAGGAGCAATATTAGACATAAAAATCAGTATTTGCAAGATTTATATTAGATTTTAAGGTCGGCATTCGCGTAATTATAAATTATTTAGGATTTTTCATCGAGAATATAATGAACTACAGATTCGTATATTCACATAGATCGTTGGTTTGGATCAATATTTCTTATATAATCTTTTTTATAATATATATATATATATATATATATATATATATATATATATATATATATATATATATATATATGATATTCTTATATATGATAATCAAGTGCAGATACAGATCAACGAATAATCAAAGATTCATGAATTATAATTATTATTATAATTGTTTGTATTATTATTACTATAATTATTTAGCGAATGATAAAGGACTGCGAATGCCGACCTAGGTTTCAACTCGGGTATCTTCTTATATATCTCTCTTCAATAGATTCGTCAGAGGTCCATTAAAACCGGAAATTTCGTGTGTAATAAATAATTTGGCACACCTGGAGAATATATAATCGCTAATGTATGATCGCTGATGATGAATATATGATCGCTGCCCACGTCCCGACGTTCCGCATCCTCCGTTCTAGCTTCTCGACCCAACATCTTGGTTGCTTCGTCGTGACACTGACACCGCGTACATTCAATCAAAGATGCACGTGTTAAATAAGGCGATGCCGACGAGGGACTAATTAAGTCTCGAAAGAAATAGTTTTATTACCCGCGAAGAACACACGCGATAAATAGCACCGCGACACGCTAGTCCGTGAACATAGATGCGTATCGCTCACCGGCTCGAATAGAAACATCCGGAAAGTCCGAAACACAAAAATAAATTTGAACGCCTTGAAGGTCTCGGATGTTTTGATGCGTGACTGCTCGGCTCTTGTTGATAAGCAAAGATTATTGTGATCGAAAGGCATGAGTTTACATTTTTTGTCTGTTGTTTTTGTTTCTTATTCTACTACTTTGGCGCGTCGCACATATTTTTTTTAAACCGAGCGTTACACACACACATACACATTACATTTCAAACAAAATACAAGCGCCTAAAACATTGAAAAGCGAAAAGCGTCTAAAGGGAACAACAGAACAGAAGTAGGAAAGTAAAACAAAACTTCTGTTTGTCTAACAACGTTACGTTAATGCGTTGGATAGCAAAAGAAGCATTAAAAGATGTCATTAGTACTTTCAAGACTTACAGATTCTAAATTCCGACTCGGGTATTCATTAATTTTTACTTTCGTTCGACTGCTCTGTCTTATATCTCACTGACTTAACTGGGACTTAAGTAGAAGTAATATTTTGCTACAAAATCTGTAATACAAAAATTTGTCATACATTGAGGAAAAACACTTTGAAATTTATTTGTGGGATATAATGTCTTTTTATGTGTCAGGTAAAGTTTATTTTTATGAAATATAATTTTTATTTTTGTAAATTAACTTAATATTCCACAAATAAATTTTTAAATATTTTTGCTTAATACACCGTGTCAAGCAGAATTTTCTGCGTTTGCGGCGATAGGATTAACGACTTCTGTGTGCTTTACGTGCAGTGATATTGCCTGTACTTGCAGAATGCATCGATCACTATTAACTGATCCTTTCAACGAGATCTTGCTGATTGCAGTACTATAACTATAACTGAACTGTTAAGTATGAGTATACACTGAGAAAAAAAACTTGAAAATTTACATGTGGGGTATAAAATTTGTTTCTGTAAAATAAAGTTTATTTCTGTACATAAACTTTATATCTCACGAAGAGAGTTTCAAGCATTTTTCCCAGCATTTTAGTGAAGAATATACAAATTGTGCTTTAGAAAGTACGGGTGTATCGTGATGCGTTTCGGAAATTGCAGGCATCAAAGGTCGCTTTGAGAATCACGCGGCGAAGAATCGCCGGATAACTCGCGGGATCACTCATAAGGGCGACGATAATCGATGATCGATATCGGACGCGCACGCGCGTGCGCGCGCGCTCAAAACACCAGACACGAGAGGCCCGGTCGAGCTTGCCGTTTCACTTTGTCATTTAGCGCAATCGCTCGTACACGAAATATTTTTACGGCGTCATGCATGAAAAATGTCGAGAGTGACTTTGACAGTTTTATAAAAAAAAAAAAGAGCCTGTTAGCTCGATGGAAGCCACTCTGTCCGTGTTACTTGGTAAATGCTCGGCTGTACCGCCCATTACGACGGAAATGGACACCATCAAAGGTGTCTGTGAAACGTTTAATAAAGAAACGTTTCACAGACACCTAAATAGGCGCGTTTAAGTATCTTAAATATTCGCGCGATTACGAGCGTGTTGTATCAAGGCCGCGGCTGCATTCCGCCCTCGTCGCTTCTCGTCGATCTTTCGCGCGTAGAAATCTCCAGAATGCAAGACACAGAAACGCTTTTACCTTAAAAATGCGAGACATTTAAAACATAGAATTGTCAAAGAGGTGATATCGATAAAGGTTTTCGGATTTAAAACTGTCGCGTCGCACGCGCATTTGAGTCGCATTTGATGCGAGAATCACGGCGGAGTGTTTCGTTTCGCACGCTCTCTTGTGAAAAATATCGTGCTACGTGCCATCTATAAGTGTAAAGAGAAAAATGAGCAAGGAGGAATCGTATCAATGAACACACGCGCGCCGCATTCTAAGCGTATCTCGAGCGGCGTATCGGGCTATAAAGCTTACATTGCGAGCGCGACGTTGACGGCGCGTTCATTTTTCACGGCGACCTTAAATAAGTCACGAGTTTATCGTAGGTGGCACTTTTACTGCCGACAAGGACAGGATGTTAATTAACTTTTACTACCACGGTGCTTATGACTTTCGCGACACGCAAGTAACCGCGTAACTTTGCGGCTCCGGTAACGAACTCGGTGTGTTACCTCTTTCTCGCTCTGTGCGTGATGTAACGGTTATTCTTTTCTTTTCCAGATGGTTAACCGGAGAATGGAGCGCGTGCAGCGCAAGCTGCGGCGGTGGCTCACGAACGAGGTCCGTCTTCTGCGCCGAGGAGAACGCGAACGAAACCACCAGGGTAAGTCAGGAGGAGAACGCTACACGCGAGACTTCGAGTGAAAGTGTCAATTTCATTCGGTCCTATGCACAGTGGACTGATATCACAGAATTCTCATAAGATTAAACATAACATTAAAATAATACTTTTTTAATTTAGAAAAAATACTGATTATTTGAAATTATAATAATAGAGTTCTAATAAATGATAATGGAGTAATTTCTTATGTTTTGTTCGTTTAAAGTAAGGTAAGATAATTATGAATACAGATATCGAAGAAATATTGGGAAACATACTAAATATAATCATTTATGGGTCCACTTTCTTGATCGTAATACTTAAATTATTTAAGTAATTATTCTATTTGGACGAATCAATTAGTAAAAATCTGACGGAGGTTGTAAACATTTGCAATAATTCTTTTATATAAAAGATATCTTTATGTAATTGATGATTTGTAGTTCTAAAATTTTATATTTGTGATAATATCCCACACACACACACACACACACACAAAATTTGCCTTTATTATTGTATTATATTTAGTTGCGACACTGAAAGTAATTGCATTTTAGAAAGTTAAGGAGCCTTTTATTTTTAAACGACAGAAAAATAGGCTATGTTCAGGAATTTCTTTTGAAAAAACTTTGCAACATATCAATCTGCAACTTTTACTTTTTTTATCTGTACATTTATTATATATAAGTATAAAGAATTATTAAGAAATAATGGCTGTTCGGAAATTTCATATATAAAACTTTAAACGTGTTTTTCTTAAAATCATGTTTTCATAATTAGTGTGCAAAATTTCGTAAAAAGTAGTAAACTAATTAACTTCAAATTTTTTTCACATATTTTCAATACACGTACATATATAATACATATAATACATCCAGAAATAAAAAATTTTTGAATAATTTGAGCGGCATAAGAATCAAAGTAAAAAAGCTTGAATTATCTTGAATATATTTAATTTAAAAGCTTTATTCATAGATACTTTAACTTAGAGCATTATCGCAACCCTATTTCATTAATATTAACTTTCTAGTTTTATTTTATTACATTATTACATTAATACCCTTTATTTCATTAATACTAACTTTCTAGTTTTATAATAATAAAGATACCAATTTAAATTTTTCGTCTAAAGAAACTACTTCTAAATTCTAACTTCTAACTTCTAAGTTTTTGTGTTAAGTTTTACAGAAAAGTAAAGGAATCGAAAGTTTTAATGTTTTGACAAAATTGCTTTTAATGTAGGAACGTATATAATGTACATACACATATTCAATGTAGAAACATATATAAATAAAATATTTCATGCTCTCCGCTTTATATTGGGTTTTTAACCGTATAATAGAATAATAATACTTTTTTAATTTATTTTCCTTTCGCTCGTTCTTTTTTCTTAAATCATTTTACTCCTAAAAGTTTAAGAAAAGTGGAGATGTTGTCCTAATTTATTCATTTGATTAATTCTCATTCAATTACACTAAATATTCATGAAAAAATTTGTTAAAGTTGATAAATATTGGACAAATTGTTGTTTTAGCTATAAATATTATATGTGTAAAGTTTAGTTGTTATTGTGTAATTACAATTTAACACTACACATGTTCGATTTTCGATGGGATCGTTCCATTGTACCACAACGCAATCTCGGTAAAACTCAAATCACACACAAATAACGCGAAACTGAAAATAGACTTTTTTCAAACTTTGGTCTTCCCACGTTACGAAAAATTCTTCGACAATTGACACTGCCGAAATTCGCCTTCATATAATCAATATATCGTTATTGGTAAAACTATTATCATTCTGACGACTTATTATTATTCTATTACTTCCTTTCTCGAGTGTCACTTACTCATTATGTATATAACCATTGAAATATTATAATCTATATAAACGCTCACTATATAAAAGTACCGACTGTCGTGCTTGTTAAATAATATAGAAGACGAAATTATGCAATTTTAAAAGATATTGATAATCCTGATAGAAATTTAATGCAGTTTTCAAGCCGTCCTGCTCAAATAATATAGAAGACAGAATTATGCGATTTTGAAGGATATTGATAATCCTAATAGAAATTTAATGCAATTTTCGAGCAGTCGCTTCATAGTTATGTTAACTTTCATCTAGTAACTGGCGAGTAAAACTACTTGAAATTCCAATCAAGATGTAACGCTTTTTCTCTAATTACTGCGCACGAAACATGCACGAAGTCTGAACTCATTTACTAAACGAAAACAGAACAAAAAATGGGCAACAACTATTCAATTTATTAATAATTAAGTCTGTTGCTCTAAAAAGGATAAATTTATTCTAATATTTAATTTTTGTGCATGTTTTCTAGTAGAGACATTTTAATGCTGAAAATAATAGTACAGAAAATCTTTTTTTTTCGTGACTTTTTACATGAGCTCAAGTTAACATGTTTTTCACCGTTTATATGACGTTTTCCATAACCATCAAATGACATGCATCCTTTTGTCCATTTTTATAGTCGTACTATTTCATCAGGTTTTACAAGTTTCAGCTATCATGTCAGTTTTCATTTGTTTTATTACCATCAGTCTATGTACTATAATCTAATGTACGGACTTCACAACGAAACTCTATATTATTAACATATACTCTTTTTTTGCTCACTTTTATTTCTAACTTTGGTTATCTGTCACAGAGCTTAATATTATCAAATGCCTTATTTTTTCAATTTTTTTTCTTACTCTGTATTTTGTTACGCGTTTTTACACGTATTTTGTTGCGTCATTCGCAATTTTTAACTCTTTTCTAACAATATAAATGAATATGTTTTCAATTTATTCACTATAGATTATACATTATAATACGTGCACATTGTAATACTGAATTAATATCGCTGAAACTACGTCTGGGAAAAAGTCGGCCCACATATTATCCAGTAAATGATTTTAATCACTGAATAAAATTTCAGTTTTTGCCCAATTCCTACGTAATATTTATAACTAATGAGAATGTGTATTAATACTAAACAATAATTGGGCGGGTGTCTACGTAAACTGCATACATTTCTACCAGGAACGCAATGGGATACATAATTTTTACAAATCAAATGAGTAACGTCAGCACCGAGCAACGACTCGGCATTCTTTGGGACATCTAACGAGGATTGCCTAGTTTCCTTTGAATACCTTCCTACGACAATTGTAATAGAAATATGACAAATCCTTTATATTGACTGAATACTTTACGTCCATATGAACGTCCTCCAAAATTCATACACAATTTGGTCGTTTATTTAAATTTTGACACGCGAATGAAGGCAACGGGATAGGGAGAAGTTGATTTAAGCCTGCCAAAAATAGTGGTCACGGTCCGAAAACTTGGAAGAATGTCCACGTCGTGTTCACAAACCCCGGAGAAATGTCGACGCGACGGAACTTTACGATGTAAAGACAAATAAATCTTTCGGAATAAATCTGCCAGTGAGCGACGGAATCAGCGTTACGCGTGCGCACGATAAAATACGCCACATTTTTCACATTTCGCCACTGACGTTAGACACGCCGTAATTCCGCCGCGCGGACGGCACGTTAACCATCCTTCTCCCTTCCTCCCTTCCTCCCTTCCTCCTTCTCTCTCTCATCTCGGGAATTTTATGTCGTACTTTCCTACTTGTCTGAGAGTCGCATTTACATACGTACCGTGTCTCGCTTCTCACGACGATCTTGTAAGTCCGCGTTCCCTAACCCAGTTCGGTTCGTTTAAACTCGAAGAGCTGCGCTCGCGAGTATACACCGTCGCTCACCGTAAAACCACCTCACCCCCGACAGCTCACACGCACACGCCGGCGTGCACACATACATATATACACACATGCCTGACACGTGCGCGTATTGCATACGTACAGTGTGTCCTACAACCATGTCCGAATTCGCCTTTTCATCCAAAAATTTCCCGACGTGTATTCAGAATCAATCTGCCTTTGAACTGGAATCCAATATCGCGATGAGTTGCTCCGACCGGCGCGTTAACGTTAGATATCCCCAACGATTGAACTTTAAATTAAATTACCGCTAAGATGCTATCTGTCTTGCTCTTTAACTCTTTCAGGACGGGAGACATCTCTTGATGCTCGGTCCTCATGTATGTATTTTAGAAACTATCGATCCAATATTCACAAAAATTGGTATGTAAGAGTACTCTTTTTGGGATGCTTTTTCCAAATTTGAAGTAAAAAATGTAAAATTCAAAATGGCGAGTCAAATATGGCGATTTTCAAGATGTCAAAGTATATAAATATTTTCGCAATGGTAAGCACAAATGAGCAGATGTGATCAGGTCGGGTCAGATCTAAAATTTTTTTTCTTGGTCGGTACTTTGAATTTCAAATATTCGATTTCAGTTCTCAAAAAAGTATCATTAAAAAATTTCATAGTTCAAATTTCACGGAAATTGAGCAATATTTATATTATTTATCATTTTTCCCCTTATATTGGGTCCGCCATCTTGGATCACAGAATTTTAAAAATCTAAATTTAGATTCGGATTCAATGACCCCAAAAACCCATATAGAATACGTACTTCCCTATAATTAACCAATCCCTCGTTCTGAAAGGGTTAATCCTCCATTAGGTAATGTTGCTCTCAAGCAACATCGATTTCTCATCAGCTATATGCAAGAACGACAGAAACAGGGCGCACATTTATGTAACACTCTGGTACAATGTCTGGTGCAATGTCTGGTTATCTGTTCTGTTCGTCGATGGAGTTTCATTTTCTCCGACTAGATGACAAAAATTGTTTGAAATGTTCCCATCAATGATACTTTGAAACAATGTAATTGCATTCAAGGGACATCATTCACTTCATATAAATATTCAAAAGTTATTTTTCTTAAACTTTTTAAGTCTGCTAAATAAAGAGTTATTCCATTTACACTCTCGCAGCTTCATTGGCAAGGATCCGTTGGCCAGATGCGTTCCCACGTTAAATCCTTTATTCAAAACAATGATCTTACAGTTATAACGAAAATTGTCTAGAGATATCAGAAATTAACTAAGATAAATAAATAAATAGCAAACACTGCGATATCACATGCATGTTTTGTATTTAATCAATATAGATGACGGAGGAAGAATTTCTACCTGAACTATTTGTGAAATTTAGCAAGAAAGTCTCTCTGTGGCACTCACCCAGATTAGAGCCAGTTACAATTTTTATAAAAATTGACTGTGATAGACAAAAAATTCTAGAGAAATACAAACGAATATATAATCCTCACTTTTTAAAATTTATCTATTGTTGATATTGTTGATATCTATTGTTGATATTGTTAGGGAGTACTGCTGCTGCAAATTCTTCGTGCAGAAAATTTTCAAACAAATACAAAAAACAGCAATAAATTTAAACTGTGACATTTAGAAGGCTAGATTACTGAAAGAGCGAAACATTTCTTTTGAACGTTAGGCGCGTCTCTTTGCCGATTCCTCGCTACAAATTAATCGCGATTTTACTTAAAACTCGCCGTACAGTTGTTCGTTTGATAATCTGTGATGAAAGGCACGCTCACAGAATGTGGTCTCAGGACACTCTGTACACATGTAAGCCCGCCTACACACTGGTACACACACCGCACACAGGGACTTACATTAAATCCTTATCGTTGCAGTTGCCCGACCACAAGTGCAGTGGCACGCACAGACCGCGCGCCCAGGAGAGCTGCAACACCGTGTCCTGTCCTATGTGGGAGACCGATAAATGGAGCGAGGTGAGAGTGCATGCAATTCTACGCGAGTAAAATCCGCGTTAGTATGGTGCGTGTGTGTGTGTGTGTGTGTGTATTTGTTTGTGCGGAGTGCGAGGAGGTAGCAGAGAAACGGCGAATGTCTCTCGCTCGTATCATTTGGGGACGCAAACGTTAAGCCTGGTCACCGCCGCAATCATGGATTTAGGGTGCACGCGCGTCCAGTTCGCTTAAACACACGAAACCCTGCCGGCCGACGCCTTGCGCTCGCCTGCGCTATCTCCGCGCGAGTTTCGCCGCGGCGTAACGTTACCAGCCAGCAGGTAAACGGGGTTAATGGTCGCGCACGATTTGCGCGCTCCCTTTACGTTCCCCCCGCGCGGGTGTCGCGCGGTTGTGTGACGTGCAAAACGACTACTACGAATAAGCACGGCGTTTCGTGAAGTACTCTCGGGCGAAATCAAGATCCTCAGGATCATTTTGCGTTTTTCCAAGTTGTGTCGAGGTGGTTGGGGACGCGTGTCGGATTGAAGATCAGTTGGCATCGCGAATTCATTTACGGAAAAGAAAGATTTGCTGTCAAAACTGAAAATCTCGCTGGTCTAGCAAACCTATAGTTGTAATATGCGGCCTACCAATTTGCTATGCCGCAATACTTACGCTCGAAAAAGTAGTCTTGCAGTTATAATGAAAATTATCTAGATACGATAAATTAGCTAAGATGGATAAATGACTAGCACCACGATATCGTGGATATATTTTATATTTAATCTATATATATAACTGAGAGACGGAATTTATATTTGAACTATTTATTAAATTTAAAAAGAAAGTCCGTCTGTCACTTTCTTTGTAGAGATTAAGATCAGATTAATAACTAGTATTAGACCTAAATTTGCCTACAGATATTGCTAGAATGCTGCTATTACTGTAAATTCTACATATTACAGACAATTTTCTAGCAGATACAATTAATCATGGTAGCTAAACTATAGCTGCGGAAGCTAAGATGTGTTATTAAAATAAGGATAGTTAATGCTACTGCTACCGCAGCTGAATTCATACCGGAGATGGGCTGGGATTCTGTAACTTGTTATTGGAGTTAACGACAATTTCGTTATCGTTGCGCAGCTTTTCTACGGTATATAAAAGCTGCGCAACGATAACGAAACTGTCGTTAACTCCAATAGAATAGGGCTACTGATCAACTATTTGAACTTCGGCGCTACAGCAAAACATATTAGATAGACACAATAGCAATAAAACTGCATTGTATATCCGTCAAAGACATAAAACTGACACTTCGCGTTACAAATCCGAACTAAGCGTTCCCATTTGTTTGTAATACAGATTAATGCGCACTTTAATGCGCAAACACAAAAACCGATGTCCTTTGTATTCACACTGCTTGATTCTCGGATTTATTTGACTCCACAAAAGGACAACTTCACGTCCATCGAAAGCGCGGTAATTTCCCCTTTCCGATTCTTTTTGTTTCAAGTCGCTACGACGTTTGCAAGTGCAGTTACTGATGTTTGTATCGATTTACGCTTTCGGCCGGCGCGGCGTAGGTAGGTCGCGACGCGACGCGTGAATGTAAACAATGACCGTATTCAGCGAAGCTATTTTGGGAAGCGATATCGCGCGTGAAGACACGCAACTGCTGCGGCGATGGCCTTGCCCCACTCCACGGCTCGACCAGGATAGTCACATTGACCACACGCTCCCTCTGACTATGCGTCACCCCACTACCGGTCGCCCCACCAAATATGGCCAATCACCTCACTCAGAGAGACAAGTGTCGCATGAAAGCAGAGTGTGCCGGTTCGACAGCAGGTGGCACGTTCGGTCTGCTACTAAAGTTCTTCAAATAAAAGTTAGGACACCGTCCGCCATTTATAGGGAAGAAGTGAGTGAGAGAGAAGCTGCGACGTGTTCATCCATGGACGTAAAAATATATGGAGCGAAAAATGCGATTACAGACGAGAAACTAAAGGGCAAGAGAGATATATCGTCGCGACTATGATGGTACAGGAGTTTTGTATCTATTTTCACTATGTCAAAATAGCGACCATCGCCATCTTGGTACATCAACTCCATTACAATACATACAATTATTCCCCTTTGGGCTTCGCCTCCACGACAATTCGCTCCGTCCATGTATTCTTACGTGTCCATGTATTCTCCATGTGTTCATCATTTCAGTCTTGGAGTCTCTCTCACTCCTGTTAGAGCTTCTTTCTCATTCCTATTCGCTTTTGCCCTATTAATGGCGGATAGTGTCCGAGTCTAATAAACTCGTATTTTATAACGAATACATTTTAACTATAATAGTCAACTCTTAGCAATAACAGAAAAACAATTAACCTTTTAGCCAAATTCGAATCTATCAAGATTTAACTAATTACTGAAATTCTAGCTTATAGATCTAGCTTATAAATATTTCCCGGAAAAACTAGTAGATTAAATAAGATCAAATGAGATTGATATAAGCTTCAGAATGTAAAATAAATTTTTTTAAATACTATTTTTGTTAATAAAAAACTAGAGATGTTAAACAAAAAATTCTACATAAAGAACAAGATAAAGTAATCAAGAAATGCCAAATTGAATTTTGCCAAATCGATCGAATAGTTTTTTACATGTCCACCGATTTTGAAAACATTGTTTTGAGAAAAAGGCGTTTAAAATTTTAACTTCGAATAACTTGAAAAATAATAAAGCAATAGGTCCTTATTTTTAGTCAGCTACTCATGATCCATATAGCACGCCTTCCATCTCAAATACAAATCCCTTCTATTGTTAACTTTTGGCTTCGATGTCGAATTCTTTCTTCGCGCGTCATCTCAAGAGCACTCCTCTCGGCCTTTGCTATGCATTCCGCATCCTCGGTTTCGCAATATTGTTATATAATCCGGCCTATGTTCACTCACGATACATGTAACACTGGAAGGTAACTTTTGCTACTTTTATTAAAAAGTGAAGCCGTAACAAATATAGCTATTTCTAGAATTCTACTATCGCTACAAAATATATTTTTACAGCAGAAATGTTAAACACGAAGGTTAAACGACGTGCTACTAGCTAGAAGTTTTTTATAAGTATATAATGTATTCAGTTTTGAATAATAAAAGAGCTGGAAATTTAGTAAGAGCAATTTTAGTTCATTAAATGATTGAAATCGAGCATATTGACGGACGAGGTAAAATTGGTTCCTAATTAAGGACTGGTTAGAAGACTGTGGAGACCTCTCACGGAAACTCCGAAACTAATAATAGGATAGGATAGAATAGTAGGAACTAATAAAAGGATAGTTTAGTAATCAGGATACATATTTTATACATAGCCTTCTTATCACTTGCATTACTGACCGACTGAAGCTGATCTACTAGGGCAAAATGATCACGTTGCTACATGTTTATATTTTTGTTAAAACAACGTATAACAGGATCGTGGCAAGCATTAACACATAGGAGAAGGTTACCTCTATTATGTTTGCACAATCAGTCACAACAATTAATTGTCTGAGAAGTTATAACTTAAAAATTCTGAAATATAGGACATCTAGCCCCAGTCTCCTTTATTATCGCGCTATAGCAGAAATCGCGCTCCATTTAAAGTTCTATAACTTTGTATAGTTGCTGGACTTAATCTCTTCAGTCCTAATGTCCAGTCGGCTGGATTTTTCCACGTCTATAATTGACTCTCCTACTTTAAATGTATAAAATCATATATGTCCAGCATGATGGACTATTGATTAAGGCGTGAGTAATTAATTTGTCTCGGCAAGTTAAAAAAAGTTAAGAAAAAATATTTCTATTCTAATATTTCTATTAAATTTTGAAGTAGTTTGCCTTAGGACTAAAATTAAATAAAACTCGATACATATATTCAATAGACACATACATAATACACTTAAAAAAGAATGCAAAAAAGAAAAATATATTTTTAGAAAATTGTCGAGCTGTTACCTTCCCTTAAATGATCAAAGATATTTGATACCGCATAAGTCAGATCTATTGATATTGATATTTATTGGATATTTATTGGATCTATTGATATTTATTGGAATAAAATCGAGACATTTTGATTCTCATGCAAAGTTATATAAGCAGCGACCGAGTTTTCGCGCTAACTTTGGCTAACGTTAATCCCAGCCCTATCCTTGATCGATTTTTCGAAATGGAGCTATGAAAAGAAGACAGATACGGTTAGATTGACGTTGATGGAGCGTGTCGTCGCTGATGGATCGTACAGTTATATTGCGTTTGCGTTATATTATTACCATTGTCGCTGAAGACCTCGCGCGATTAGCCGACTCGATCAGGGTCTCTTGAAATAATTGTGCACCGTAATACGTGTATTACTCAAAGCTCTCATTAATTTGTCCATAAATCCAGATTGCGGCATTATTATACGCTTGGACACAGCCATGAGCGCGCGCGCGCACACTCACATATACAGCGGGAAAGCCTTTAATTACGCGATAATATCGCGAGCGTATAAAACTACTTCCAGCCCGTTTCCCCGTTCGACGAGTTACAGTGTCGTACGTAGCGTTTAAAGGCAAAGCAAATTAACAGCCGTGCGCGATTCGCACGACGATGCTTTTGACGACAACGACATCGACGTCGACGCGTTTCGAGGACCGCGCGCGAAAATGTAACTTCCCTCTCCTACAATCACGGTGCGCTTCGCGTTTCCTCCGGCAAGGGAATCCGATTTTCTCCAAAAGCCATGCGGCCGTTGTAATTGCACGTGGACACAAAAGCTGGATGAAGTTACATCCAATAAAGATGACGCTCAAAAAGATCCGCACCGATAGATCTGCAGTACGAGCAAAGTTCTCTCAAGACCGGCCTGTGCTGCACATATACAGGGTGATCCAGATAAAAAGCATGCGAGCTAATATCTCGGGAGAAATGCGTTATTCGAAAAAATTCTCAGTCAAGAGTTATAAAATTTCGAGGAGGAACATAAGACGATAATATTATTAGCAGCCATTTAACGATTACGTCACGTGA